TATATGCGTGAATGATTTCAAAACGTGTATAAATGAGAAGTTTTGTATTATAGTTTTTGGAAGTACAAGTGAGTAAGATTGGTTTCCCCGGAAAACCCGATGTTTTCCGATAAAATATTATGATTGTTTTGTATTATTGTATCGTCACAGCGAATGAATATGATTTCCCCTGATTACTTAGATGGTATTGGATCTCTATGTGAGTCGTTATAACCATACATGATAATGACTAGTTCGTCTGTCTTGGCATTCTAATGAACACCGAAATTGATCTTAAGATTTTGTCACCCTAGACTGGCCGAGTCTAACTGTAGCGAACAGCTTAGGTGTGGGGGAGTCACCCCCGTATAGATCTATACACAAACTCTCGCTCTCCCTCCAGGAGACTTTGATTACAACTACAGACTACGATCGACACTTATTGGTGTCGCCCGTTATTACTCACTTAATCCAAATGAATTTGATTAACCTTGATTAATGACCTGATTTTAGTTTACTTGAAGAGAAGGTAAGCCTAACAGACGAGGAGAAGAGGACTACTAGGCCCTACTAATTACGTATGTTATTTAAGGCTGTCGAGTATACGAAAGGCGCGTTGACCCATTTCGCATAAGATTCATTTGGACCTTACTAGCAATGCTAATGGGCCACTGAGGTCCAATAGCATGTAAAAGCCATTGAGGGTCTCTTAAGCATGTAATTGGGTCACAGGAGGCCCAATAACATGTATTATTTATGTTGGGCCCAAAAGTCATGTTAATGGGTCACGAAGGCCCAATAAGCATGATTAGAATCTTTCAAGCCCAAAAATTAGAATGTTTACTTGTTTTGTATAGTATTAGTGTTGTGAAGTTGTTCAATCGATATGTCGTAATAATCACCAATTTGTTTTATAACGATTCATAGATTTATAAAAATAGTTATTTTTCTATTTAAAACCCATAAGTTATAAAGTTTTGTATATTTTGACCCAATTATTTTATTATTAACATAATTGACTAAAAATATTAGTTTGACCAATTCAGCCCCTTATTTTGGTAAAGTTGGCAATTTTTAGCCCTTTTTATGAAAAATGACATATTAGGTCCTTGAACTATTTTTCTTGACATTTTTGACCTAAACACTTAATTAAATGATGTTTTAAGCCCAAATTTTTTATTTAGGACAGATTCAGCCCCTTAGTTAAAAGATTTGCATTTAAATCCACACTTTTCGCAATTTTTACAATTTTTACCCAAAATCCAAAATCTTTGCATTTTTAGTCCCTTTTGATAAATAAGGTCATTTTAACCCCTGAAATAGGTTTATATACGTTTATAGCCCCTGTTTTGAGAAAACTTTCCATTTCAGCCCCTTAAATTTGATTTTTCGCATTTTTGGGCCTAAATAGCCGAAAATCCCAAATTTTAGCCCATTAGGCTAAAATTTACATTTTTAGTCCTTTAAAAAGCCTAATATTTATAAAAACTCTTATTTTAGCTGTTTTGACCTTTTGATCCTTGTAGAAACCGTGAATGACATCTTTTTCCCCATCTTTTGTTTATTTATCAAAAATGGTCCAATAACAAATTTTATGTTGTAGTGTGTTTATTTTAAAGCTTGTATATTAGTTTATCTTGACATGTTAAGTGAAATATGACCTAGATCACATATTTTTCCTTCTTGAACTATAGATCTCGAAATATCTTTCATTTTTAGCACATATTTACCACAAAAACACAAGAAATCACACATAACATACAAATACACATAGATCTTCACATTTTACTTGTATTCTCCCCCATAAATCATATGAAAACCGAAAATAGAGGGGTATGAACTCACCTTAGGTTTGTGGGTTCAGTTTTGAAGAAAGAAATGGAAGAGTTTGGTCCTAGCAACTTCCTTGAGTAGATCTCGAACTCAAGAAGATTTCTAAGAGTATAAACACCAAAAACTTTGTGTAAAGGAATGATCTAACAAGAGAGTGAAGTTATGAAGCTTGGATGTGTAAAGACTTACCAAAGATTGACAACACTTGATGAAGACTCTTGAATTCCAAGCCAAATTTTCGAGAATTCCTTGAAGGAAGGAAGGAGATGGCCTTCGAGAGAAATGGAGAGAATTTTTGTGTAGTGTGTGTGTGTGTTGTGTGTCTTCGGCCGAAACAAGAAGAGGGGAGAGAGTGAGATGAGTTGACATGCATGGAAACATGAGAATGGTGCATGGATACCCTATGTATATTTATGAGGTGGCACTACAATTGTCAACCCTCATTTATCCATTCTTTTATATTTTTTTTTTGTTTTACTTGGGCCGAAATGGGCTAAGGAAGGAGGAAGGAATCACTTTGGCCCATTCTTGCCTTGGCTCAAGTTCATGAGGCCCATAAGGAAAACTTATGGCCCATTGGGCCCTTAGGGTAGCTCACGGCCCAATTTTTGTATAAGAGAATGGATATGAGTCCATTAAAGCTAATTGGATTAGTTATCGCCCAATAAGGCCCATTAAAGATAAACTAGTCCATTTTAGGCTTATAAGGCCCAAAAAGGTTAAGTATTATGAGAGTGGGTCCAATGAGAGCCCATTGAAGAGTTCTAAGCCCAAAATAGTCAAATTGGAAGCTTATTGGCCCATTAGGCCCAATAAGGAAACCCTAGTCCATATAGGACTTAAACCGGGATTTATAGGGTTTTCAACTTTACTTGATGAATCTAGGTTTGAATGTGTTTCCATAGGTTGAACTTCAAGCATAACATGAATTTGGGTTACGAGTTTACAGTAGATAATGTTTACAAGAGTACAAAATTTCCTAGCTAGAATGCTAGTTGTGACAAACACAAAGGCTATTTACATCGTTTCGACATAGCTTCTCTAGAGCTTTCTTCAAGTTATATGCTCGCCTTTCAAGTTTAGATACCATCATATGAGCACCTTCCTCATGTTTAACAACTTCAAGTTACTAAACAATATGGATAGACAACAAGAATAGGTTTTCTACCTTCAACATTTTACTTTTCGAGTTATGCAAAAAAGATTCCAAATACTGCTTGATTATGCAGAGATACATGCATCTTTTGTCATGGTGTCGATCAACAACAAATTTAGGTGTCTCCCGGAGGGTCCCGGGCCATCACTCGATTTCTCGCCATAGTGTAATTTTTTTTATTAAGGTGCACCCATTAAAAAAAATATGTGTAACTATTAGTGTAAGGTACAACTACAACAAAATTTTTTGTGTCCGCCACCGATGTCGATACATCTTTTCTAGCTTCGACATTTTACAATCTACAGGGGCGGACCTAGGGGGTCCATGGTGGCACCGACAACCCCTGACTTTTCCGGACGCAGTGGAAAAATTTTCGAAAATTTTATTTTTTCTACTACCGTGCAACCCCTACTATGAAATCCTGCGTCTGCCCCTGACAATCTATTTTGTTCTAATATTATAACATCAATAACATATACACAAAAATGAAAGCTAATAGTAGCGGTAAGGCATGAAGCAAATAGTAGCCATAAGGCATGGACGAAAAAACTAGCAAATTCAACGGATAATATGAAAATAAGAGAGAGACTCATAGGATTACAATCACAAAGAAATGTCTATTTTAAAGGACTACTAAAATATTAAACTATGGAGAAAACAATAGCAACACACATTTGGAGCAGAATACCGGGTAATACCGACAAACAAAGCATGAACATTTGGAGTAGAATAATAGATAAGAGAGCACACCTAAAACTAGGGATAAGCTTCAGAACCGGACCGGTTTTCCTATATTATAAGAATCGAGAACCGGACCGCCGGTTCTAGCGCCAGTTCCGGTTCCGGTCCCGGTTTTTCGGTTATTTTTCAAACTAGAATCGGTTGAAATATTATAGACGATATGCTATCTTCCGGAGTTTGTAAATGATTCAATATTTAACCAAATTATGATTTTTTACATTCTAAATTGAAGTATTAAACACTAAATTGTATGATGAAAAAAGAATCAAGTAATTCCGACTTCATATGAGTGAGTTATGCGCATTTTAAAAGCGGGATAAATTTCAAAAAAAAAAAAAAATGCTAAAACAGAAAATATGCAGCATTGTCTTCCGAGGTCTATAACTGATTCAATATATAACCAAAATATATGTTTTTATAAATTAAAATGAACTAAAAAGACTAATTACATGCTGGAAAAAAAATTAAGTAATTCCGACGTCATATGAATGAGTTATGTTCATTTAAAAAAATATGACAGATTCAATTTTTTTTTTGCTGAAATAGAAAAAACGCAGCATCAATATTCTCTCTTTCGGGGCATGTTTCTGATTCAATATCTAACCAAAACATATGTTTGTACAGTAAAAAATGAATTACAAACTCCAAATTACATGTTGGAAAAAAAACCAAATAATTCCGACTTCTTATGAGTGAGTTATGCACATTTTAAAAACCGGAAAAATGTCAAACCGGTTCCGGTTTTTAGAACCGGGACCGGTTTTCATAAAAATGGAGAACCGGTAACCGGACCTTGTTACCAATTCCGGTTCCGGCTTCGGTTCGATTCGGTTCCGGTTCCGACGGTTCTAATGTTCATCCATACCTAAAACATTCGAACCTAAAACATTCGAACGGAAGCGTTTATATATAGTGCTTAGATGGTTAATTTTGGATTCGTCATGTATTATCGGGGCACCAATTGGATTTAGTAGCCCAACAGTTATTTGGGCCTATGGTCCAAAATTTATGCTTATCGGGTTGGTTCCTTCTTACGGTTGCTCCGGCCCCAATACTACCTTCCTATCTCTCTGCACATCGTCTCTCGTAGGTCCCCTCAATGAAAACACCATTTTCTATCTGCAATCGCAACTTCTTCACACTCTCTGTACGTTTTATCTTCCTCCTCTATCATCTTTCTTTGCGACTTGTTTAGGCATGTATTGTAAAAGAAGGCAACGGGGTGTACTTATTTGTGCCACGTCAGAGCCACTTTAGCCCCTTTCTCCGTTATTCACTCTATCTTTCAAACATGTTATACCATCTTTCAACTTTCAATCGAGCAATAAACAATCGAGGGGAAACCGCTTCGGGCTGCCACGACGACCACGGGCTGGGTCTTCAAATCGCGGGCAGCATGGGCAACGGGAGGAGTACACCACATGACCACATAAGCTCTCGAATTCTCTTTCTCTTTGATGTAGTCCCGTTTGTTCGTTGGCTTTTGTATTTTAAATGTAAAAGGGAACCCCGAAGTCCGATTCTTTCCAGTCGGCGTTTTCACCCATCCGATTCCAATAGGGGTTTAGTTTATAACCTTTTGGCGTTTACCCCCTTACGCTTGTTGTCTTAGGATCCAATTCGGGTCAAAACTGGGTTTTTACCTATGGGTCGTTCCTGCAAATCTATCAAATTACATCTCAGAACTGGGTAAGTCGGTATTTGGGGTTCTCATCGCTTGATGATTGTTCCTTTATGTTAATTTCTAATTTTGATTTTGTACAGTTAATCCGTGCATATAATAGTTGCTGGTTTGAATTTAAATTATGTCTTATAAGAAGTTCATGGTTTATTTTTTTTAATGTATGCTGCAATTCATTCCTCTTATTTGGAAGAGGTTATAGTTTACATGCTTTCTTATGTAATGTGCAATATGATTTAGTATCAAACATTTCTAAGCCTGTCATATCAAAATTCTTTTATTTATTTGGATGCAGATTCAATGGAGATTTCTGATGAGGCAGTACTAGTTGATTGCAGTAGATTGAAATCAGCAGTCTGGAAAGACTTTGACCTGCTCAAAAGAGGTGATGTATGTATTGCTGTTTGTAAGAAGAAACTCAGTGGTTCAAGAACCAGTGGAACAACACACATTTAAGAAATCACTCAATCAGATGTAGAAGAAGATCAAATCATGATGTATCTCAAATGCTAACTTCAAAAAGGAAACATGTTGGGTTCAAAATATTTGTTAGAAAAGTTCAACCCTTGTATGAACTTGCAAGACTTGATGGTGTCGTGGCTGACTGTAAAGAAATTTACCTCAAAGAGAAACAAAAAGTTACTGAAATGTTGGATGCCCTTCCAGGTAAAATTAGTTTGAGTGTCAGACACATGGGCTGCAAAAGGTGATGCTCAGTACTTACTTATGTTTGACCACACATTCGGTTGATGAAACTTGGGCATTAAAGAAAAAGATTATTATATTATAAGTTTTATAAAAATCCACCCTTTTTAAACAGAAGACACGGTTTCTGAACTTATCATGAGTAGATTAATGGAGTGGGTCATTGACCAGAAATTGGTCTCATTGACTTGCAACAGTTGTCCAGTTCATGACAACATTGTATGCAAAATTAGAGACCGTTTATGACAAAACAGGCTTCTTTTATGTAACGGTCAGTACAGTTATTTGAAGTAAGATGTGCTTCTAACCTAATAAAAGCCATGGTTGATAATTCTCTTACTCTTGAAGCTTTAACTCCAACAATCTCCAAAATCCGTCAAGGCTGATATCAAGTGCATTACTCTTGAAGCTCACAAGCCGTTAGTAAAAAGTTCAATGAAATGGTTCAAGAAGTTGGACAGGATTATAAGATGACTTTAGAACTTGACTTGAACTTTGCTGTATTGGACATATGTCTTCAGCTGAATCAGTACCATATTTGCCAAATTCACTTGATATTGAAACACTCTCCAGTATCTCAGATATGAAAGACTAAAAGCAACAAGTTATGAAATTCTCCAAAACAGAGTGCTTTGCCCTTTCTTTTTTCTTAAATCTAACATCACGAATATGAGTTACACTCACACTCGGTGAGCCCATTTTGATTTTATGATTCAAATTTTATTGGCAATTTTCATGTTTTTGGACTTCCATGACAATATAAAACTACTGTGGCCGTGGTTTCATCCTCTCCTGTGTAACTTTAGATTCCATTTCAATTACTCCTATTTAATATGCCTTTTTTTAACCATGTAATGTAGTTCCTCTATCTTTATATATAAAGAGGTCAGTATAAGATTCTGAGTAGGCAAAAGATAGACTAGCTTGTTTATTGTTTTTGCAAGAGAAAGCACATGTTCTCAGTATCTTCCTTTATGTAAAATATAATAAATAAATACCCAAAAGCTGATTGTAAAATAAAAGTTAAAACTACAGTTACAGTGAAGTGAACAAAACCTAGTTATGAGATCTGGGAGAAATTTTTATAGGCATCCCTTTAGAAGGGAAGGGGAGGGGGTCCATTACTATTGGCTCTTGAGGGTATATCAGTGACCAATTATATTGTGTTACAACATAATGAACAAACACAAGAATATTCAACTTTGCCAGCTGGTACCCCGCACACAGCCTGGGCCCACCACCAAACGGTATAAACGAATAAGCTTGAACCGGATCCGCAAATCTACTCGGGTCGAACCGCATCGGATCCGGGAAATACTCTTCATCATAATGGGTCCCATATGCCGTCCAAAGCACCTGTTACACAACAACATTTCACTTTAGATTAGTCATTAGAGTCAATGAATTTACACATTTCACCCATCTACTTTCTATTTGTTTGCACCTTCCATCCTCTAGGAATCGTGAACCCTTCAAATTCGATATCAGTTGTTGCTTTTCTAAAGGACCCGAAAATGGGAGGGAATAATCGCATGGTCTCGCGAGCTACTTGCCATGTGTACTCCATTTTCTTCACATCTTCAACGCTCAAGCTTTCACCTGGTTTTTTCGTTCTAGCAATCTCTTCATGCTCTAGGAATTAAGATAAAACGTCGAGTAAGGAGCTTTTTTTTTTTTTTTAATTAAAAAAAAAAGGTTTAATGGATCAAACAATTAATCTGAATAAACTATACATGACTTCATTATCCATTCAGTCACTATAATGACTTCATAGTCTCATACATGACTTAATGGGAACAAAAGAAAGAAACGACAGTTTATAGGACATTGATTAGATATTATTAAAATGTACCTTCCATGAGACGAAAATGGCAATTGGGATGATTATTAAGCATCTTGAATGTCATGGAAATAGCATAAGAAGTTGTATCATGAGCTGCAAACACCAACAAAACGACATTATCAACCGCCTCCGCTTCTGTAATCTCACCTCTGATCAAAGCCGCCACCAACATCGAAAGTAGCATGCCTTTTTCTTCTTCTTGACCACCTTCCATGGCTTCCCTCTTCCTTCTCACCTCATCAACCAACACCTTCTCTATCTCCCCTCTCGCCTTCTTAGCTCTCCAGAATTTTGTCCCCGGAAAGTTCACCGGAGCAGCCAAAACACCTTCTAGAACCTTCTCAAACACCGGAAACATCAATTCTGGTTCAATCCGTATTCCGAATAAACATTTAAGAACAATAGTGAAAGTAACCATTTTCGTTGACCGATGTAGGCTGATTTCGTCCTGGTGATTCCAGTTCTTCTGTAAATGTTTCTGAATGGAATCACACATTCTGGGCACGATTTCTTGAAGCCCGGATGGGGTAAGTGTGGAAGCAATAATTCCGCGAAGGCATCGATGCGATTCCCCTTGTTTCTCCATGATCGAATTCCTTCCCATTAATTCAACAGAAGAAGTTGGCCATGAACTTATCACCAATTTGAACTCATTCGACATGAAAAACTTGTTAGCTGAAGCTCCATTTACCACCACAGTTGGTGATCCCATGAGTCTTGTTTTGAACACTTTGCCATGTTTTCTGATTCTGGGTTGGAAAAAGTCATTGAACAGTTGATTCCTGCGTTGAGCTCTGTAAAATCCGATTGTTTCACCGATCCAAGGGAGACCCATTTGGCCGGAGGGTAGTTTGGACTTTTTTGGTTGGTTGTAGGTTTTGTAAAGGATGATGATGATGATGATGATTGGAGGTAAGAGAGAGAAGATGAAGGTAGCCATTGATGTTGATGTTGTTTCATGTTTGGTTTATAAGATGTCGAGTTTATATAGAGATTGGAAACATGAAATTGGGTATCGAGTCAACTAATTGTTTATATATAAAAGTAGCTGTGTTTTTGGGGGTGGCAGATTAAATCTGAAGTCGGGCCGACTAAAAAGATTCATGTTATAAGCGGCATGTGCACCTTGCCTTTGGGAAAATACACTCTTTGAGTCTTTTCTATTTCAATTCCTTTAATGTGTTTTTTTTATTTTATTTTTATAATTTATAGTCAAACATGCTCAATAACTTATGTTAATAATCAAACATAATGTTTTTTTTTTTTTTTTTTTTTTTTTTTTTTTTTTTTTTTTTTTAAATCTTAAGTCAAACTCGAAGATTCTATTGTAGGGTTTATGATTGAAGGAAGTTAGTCGTTTATAGGTGTAGTCGAATGAGTTCACTTAAGTTTTCATTAAGAATCTAATTCCATTGTCATGTCATGTGTTTTGAACGCGTCTTTAAATTTTATTACTAGAGGATCTCGAGATTTGATATGGATTTTGTTCCTTTTGTTGTTGATGCATTTTTTTTTTAATGTGTTGATATTTTCCAACTCAATTAGTAGCGGTCCTCGTAAAAGATTACTGCCCTTTTTCTGAAGGATGCAAGTGTAACCATCATATATAAATAATAAATTTACGGGGTGCATCACAAAAATATGATTCACCTAATCACCTATGTATTATATCTATTTGTATCATGATTCTGTAAACTGATATAAATTTCTATGTGAATCATGGTATACAATGGTATAAAACGACTGAAATATCATGAGATATGAAGTTTAATGGTTCACCATGATTCATAAGACTTTATAAATGAAATCAATTTTCATCTGACTACAATCAAGCAATTGAAGATACAATCAAGCAACTAAAGACAGGGTAGTCTATATCTACCTCCAATATCATGCACCCTCATGAATTTTTTTGTCTTATATTGTTTTTTATTATTATTTTGTTTTAACGTTTTTTTGTTATCTTTTATTATTATTTAGATTATTCTTATTAGCTTATTATGATTGTTGTTTTTTATTATTTGAAAGGCATTAATACAAAAACTAAAATAAACAATTTATTAAAATATAAATTTATTTTTATCAAATAACTATCATATACAATAACTTTTGGAATATTACAAAATCATTGTGTAGGCATTCAGTAAAAAGTTATCCATAGTTTTTCATTCAACGGAATATTGTGATATGTGGTTTCTCCATATGACTTCAGCGTGTGTGCGGAAAACTTCCTTCATTTTTTGTCTGTCACATCATCTTTTCCCTCACCAAAAGTCGGGGTGTGTATGAGAAGGATCTTTCACTTTATTTTTTTTTAAATAAAAAAAATGATTTTTAAGATTTATAATTTTTTTTTGAAATGAGTAATAAACATAAAAATTAATTAACAACATTAATTAAAATAAAAATTACATAAAAAAAACTAAGATTTAAATAAGTAGAAAAACAATAAAAAAATGTGTGGGTATTTATAGATGTGGTAAAGGGTTATATATATATATATATATATATTGCAATTTTCGGACTTATAGCCATTACCTAGCAAAAAAAAAAAAAAAAAATCAAATTTCTACCGTTTTTTAACGGTTACAAAAAAAAAGGAAAATGTTGGACGAATCACAACCCAAGAGATAATGCGGCAACCCCACCCCTATCCCGCACCTCCATTCCCGCAGGGACGGTGCTGTGTTCTGATGTGCGGGAACACTTCCAGCCCCTCCTTCCCATGGCGCTCCGTCCAACCTAATGAAAAACGGTAAGCATTAGATAGGTTGCTTATAAATCAACTTTCACACAATGATTACTGTAAACAAGGACGATAACAATAACTATATGAGTTGGGATATCTTATGGACCAAGCCTTAGTGGTAAGCACGTCAATGAACCTTGTTTGCTTAAAAAATTAACGTCCATACTTGTTTGCAATGAGAAAACCGATGTCCGACATAATAAGTTAATGTTCAGTTCCTACAAAAGTCGATTCAAAGTAATTCAACAAATGATTTATGTTGTCGAAATAGTGTAACTACCCAAAAATCAAGGGTACAAATTTCATTTTTCATTATAGTCAAACACAAATGTTACTTCATCCAATCATTCAAAACATTACTTAATTAAAACGTTTATTAGAGTTACGTCCCAAAATCACATAAAGCGGAAAACACGGGTGTGTGTGCGCTGCGATCAAGCCGGACCCTTCCTTTCCAAACCAATGATACCTGAAACCATAAACAAAATTGTAAGCACGAAGCTTAGTGAGTTCCCCAGAGCATACCCCACATAATCCACATAATCCACATAACCGCATAAACCATATCAATCACATAGGCCATATCAATCATATAAGCCATATCAATCACATAAGCCATATCAATCACATAAGCATATAAGGATGTCGTGGGCTCCTCCCAGGGTCTTACTCCAGGATGCCATGGGCTCACCCACATGGTCTTACACCTAAGTGCCATGGGCTCCCCCCATGGTCTTTACTTGGAAAGCCATGGGCTCCCCCACATGGTCTGACATCCAAGCGTCATGGGTTCCTCCCATGGTCTTTCATGTAAGTATCACAAAGACAACTAGCATATCACACATCACATAAACAACTAGTATATCACATATCACATAACAATGCATATAAATATATAAGGATGTCGTGGGCTCCTCCTAGGGACTTACTCCAGGATGTCATGGGCTCCCCCACATGGTCTTACACCTAAGTGACATGGGACCCCCCATGGTCTTTACTTGGAAAGCCATGGGCTCCCCCACATGGTCTGACATCCACGCGCCATGGGCTCCCCCATGGTCTTCGCTGCAAGTATGACATAAATAACTAGCATACCACTTAGCATATAGCTAACTATCATACCACATATCTCTACATCAGCTAGTGTACCACATATCACAAAATGGGCCGACCTTGGTGCCTTAGACCCATTGGTATGGTGAGGAGACTCACCTCGCACTGCTGAAGTCCCGCGGATAAAACTCTAGCTGCTGGTTGACAGATTCCCGAACTGTTAACATCAAAACAACACCCAATTAATAATTGAGTTCCAATACA